TATGTATGTATGGATGGATGCATGTATGTATGTATGTATGTATGTATGTATGTATGTATGCATGTATGTATGTATGTATGCATGTATGTATGTATGTATGTATGCATGTATGTATGTATGTATGTATGTATGTATGTATGTATGTGAGTATTTTACAGAATGATATCTTATGTTTAACTCACTCACCTCCTCGTTAACTTTGGCCAATGAACTGAAATGGATGTCTGAACTAAACTGACTGAACTGAACTGACTGACTGAACTGAACTGACTGACTGCCTGAAGTTGTTTTTCCTCGTGGGTGATTTTTTTTCCTTCTTTAAATGTATCTCTATGTATTCAAATCATATCTTATCGTCTTGTTTATTTCTTCTTTTCGTTTCAGGATGCACAAACTGGTCTCATGATTTTTTGAAGGTTTAGAAAGTAATATAGAGAGTTGATTCATGACTTGACCCTTGTTGTTGTTTGTTGTTGTTGTGTTGTTGTTGTGTTTGTTGTTGTTATTGTTGTGTTGTTGTTTTTTGTTGCTATTATTGGTGTTGTAGTAGTATTGCTATTATTATTATTATTATTATTATTATTATTATTATTATTATTATTATTATCGTTGTTGTTGTATCCTAACCTAACATGACCTAGCCTGACATGACCTGACCTAATCTAACCCTAACGAATAAGATTGGGACCTAATCATGATGCAAAGGGTAGGTTAGGTTAAGTTTGGTTGAGTTAGAATATATTAACATAGGTTAGGTTATCATTAATTTAAGCTGGCATTAGGTTAGGTTAGCATTAGGTTAGGTTAAGTCAGGTCAGGGCTAGAGAAACCCAGTACAATACATACTACTGTACCTGGATAGTTACAAAATAGTACAGTACGACCTCTTAATATTACTTACATTGATGCACGTGGTAATGGCATACCATTTTTTGTGCATTCTTTATCACGTTTTCTATGTCTTTATCATCCCATTTTCTTTGTATCACTTATCACTGACTCTATTCACACCAAGAACTTTCACAATATCAAGTGTGTGTGTGTGTGTGTGGGTTGGTTGGTTGCCTTGAGCGCTGGGAGGAGAAAGAAAGAGAAAGAGGGGAAGGGAGGAAAGAATGCAGAGAGAGAGAGAGAGAGTGAGAGAGAGAGAGAGAGAGAGAGAGAGAGAGAGAGAGAGAGAGAGAGAGAGAGAGAGAGAATTCAGAGAGAGAAGGAGAAAGAGAAAGATGCATTTTTGTTTGATTATGAGTGACTTGGCTAGTTCTCTCTCTCTCTCAGGTAAAGGATCCATATATATATTAGGTCACCTCGCCACCATGATAAAAAACCTATGGGATTATGGTACCAGGGTGTCTATATATGGTAGTGATGGCTAGGTATACCTTGAGCTACCCTATACTTTCTCTCTCTCTCTAGTATTGGGGTAAAACAGGTACAGTCCCCTTCACTAGTGTGTTTACAGGGGCTGCTCATATAAACATTCCACTAATCATTATCTTTGAGGTATTTGTTTTAATGTCGTTTTAATTTTATTCCATAGTTTGTTTATTATTGTGAGTTTCCTTCTGTCGATTGTAAACAAACACAGGGCTGCCACACAACACAAAACCTGACGAGTCCCTGTAAACGCACTAGTGAAGGGGACAGTATCTTGCTGGGTAGTCTTGTGCGCTCTTTGGGTATATTAGCTACATACATACATACATACATACATACATACATACATACATACATACATACATACATACATGCATGCATACGTACATACACACATACATGCATACATACATACATACATACATACATACATACATACATACATACATAAATACATACAGTACATACAAACTCACTGGGTCAGAATGACACTCACCAAGCCGCGGTGTTCCTCAAGGTATTATAGTGTTGGAACCTTCTTTTATTTTAAGGTGTGTTGTTATGAGCTCTTAAAACCCGTCAGTGATCTTCTCAACGTTGTATTTCAGGCTCAGTGTTTATTTTGATGACGTCACCACTACTTGGGATAATGAAATTGCTTATGTTTGTGGGATGATGACGTCACCATTTATGATAATGTGTTTGTTTATGGGATGATAATTTAACTTAACCTAACCAAAACATCAAGTGGGTTTTGCTAGAATCCGAGAAAGGTGTGGGTTTGATGACAGGTAAGATTGGTTAGGTGACAGGTAGGTTGTTAACTGTTACCTGTGTGAAGAAGAAGAGAAAGTGAAGGACAGAAAACCGGAAGAATGAGAGAGAGAGAGAGAAAGAGAGAGAGAGGCGGATATGCAAACTGAAAGGTAGAGAGGTGTTAAGCCAAAGAGATAGAGAGAGAAAGAGAGAGACAGACAGACAGCCAGAGAGAGAGAGAGAGAGAGAGAGAGAGAGAGAGAGAGAGAGAGAGCGAGCTTAGACAGAGGGAGGAAGGGAGGGAGGGGGGCGTGGTCATCAGCAACTGGGAGGGGAGGAAGGGTTGGCAGTGTATACGGGCAGCTCTCTCAGTTGCGGTCCGTCTGTTACACTGTACGGACGTGCCTACACCTCGTCCAGTCACGCTTGGGACTTAGAAATACCCCCCTCTTCAAACACCGTCCTAGACTCAACTCCAAAACATTACCCTTCCTTAAAGTGATTAATAAACAAAAATTAAACCCACCTCCCTGAATTTGGACCACAAAAAACCTCCCAAGTCTTGATATTTTCCAACGATAAACCTTCCTCACCCACTCCGTTAAATTTTATCAAATCTAATTTCGCTTGCGTGACTGGGAGAACTCTTTTAAGTGTGTTTTAAGTGATAAGTAAAGTAAAAAAAAAAAAGAACGGGATATATTATTATGATAAGTGTTAGTCTGTGGTCGTCGTGTACAGCGTGAAAGGGGTATAGTGTCTTCATACAGCACAGCGCCGCCACTATGTTAAGCAGGTAAGTTCATTCTCCTTCTTCACTTTCAGTTTCTAAAGACGACGACCGTGTTGGGTGGGTGGTAGGGCCCCGGCTGCCTTCCGATGTTCATTTGTTTGTTTTTTATTTTTCTTACGTGTTGCTTCGTCCTGTGTGTTGTTTTATTGACCTTTGGTGTGTAGATATTAGTTATGTGTGTTTGTGTGTTTTATTGACCTCGCGTGTGTAGATATTAGTTGTGTGTGTTTTATTGACCTCTCGTGTGTAGATATTAGTTGCGTGTGTGTGTGTGTTTTATTGACCTTTCGTGTGTAGATATTAGTTGCGTGTGTGTGTGTGTGTGTGTAGATATTAGTTATGTGTGTTTTTGATTGACCTCGCGTGTGTAGATATTAGTTGTGTGTGTTTTATTGACCTCTCGTGTGTAGATATTAGTTGCGTGTGTGTGTGTGTTTTATTGACCTTTCGTGTGTAGATATTAGTTGCGTGTGTGTGTGTGTGTGTGTAGATATTAGTTATGTGTGTTTATTGACCTCTTGTGTATGAAAATATTAGTCTCGTGCGTAACGTTTCTGTATTGAAATTGTGTGTTTGTTAGATGTAGATTTTAATTATGTAACAACTTTTTTCTTATTTGTTTAATAATTCCTGATTTGTCGTTTATGTCATTCCGTCTATACAGTACACTAGCTTTTGTTTTTTCCTATGTCGTTGTTCTTTTGTTATCGTTCTGGTGTTTATTAACTCACCTGTGTTACCCTAATGAGCAATATTAACTCACCTGTGTTACCCTAATGAGCAATATTAACTCACCTGTGTTACCCTAATGAGCAATATTAACTCACCTGTGTTACCCTAATGAGCAATATTAACTCACCTGTGTTACCCTAATGAGCAATATTAACTCACCTGTGTTACCCTAATGAGCAATATTAACTCACCTGTGTTACCCTAATGAGCAATATTAACTCACCTGTGTTACCCTAATGAGCAATATTAACTCACCTGTGTTACCCTAATGAGCAATATTAACTCACCTGTGTTACCCTAATGAGCAATATTAACTCACCTGTGTTACCCCACGAGTACAATATTATTAACCTCACCTGTAAGTTACCCTAATGAGCAATATTAACTCACCTGTGTTACCCACGAGCAATATTAACTCACCCAGGCTACCCCAATGAGCAATATTAACTCACCTGTGTTACCCCATCGAGCAATATTAACTCACCTGTGTTACCCTAATGAGCAATATTAACTCACCTGTGTTACCCTAATGAGCAATATTAACTCACCTGTGTCACCCTAATGAGCAATATTAACTCACCTGTGTTACCCTAATGAGCAATATTAACTCACCTGTGTTTACCTTCACCGTAAGAGTTCACCGTCATTGTTTACACCTTGTTTATCACTGTTCGGGGTGGGTGTTTATGCGTGTTTTTTTTTAGCCTTTTCGTGTGTTTTTTTTTGTCCTGTTTGTATTGACGGTGATATAGGTGTGTTTGTTTTTGTTACTTTTGTTTTTATTGTTAGGTAATTTTATCGTGTTTTTCGTTCTTTCTTTCTTCTTGTTATTAATGTTATTACTGTCATTATCGTTCTTCTTGCTATAATTTGCGTTATTGTTGTCATTTTCACTCTTTTTGCTGTTATTATTATTTTCACTGTAATTATTCTTCTGTCCATTATTATTATTATTATTATTATTATTATTATTATTATTATTATTATTTTAAGGACGATGGTTTAAATTTTAACCCTTTGAAGATGTGTGTGTGTGTGTGTGTGTGTGTTTTATGTATGTATGTATGTGTCATGTGTGCTTGTTTGTGTATATGTGTATGTATCATCACCATTATCATCATCATCATTATTATTATCCCAGGAATAACATAACTAATTGAAGTCATTAACGCCATGTTTATGCCCCTCACAAGATCCCCGTACACCTGTTAGTGAGGTTTGTCTGTCTGCCTATCATCATATTTCATAGTAGAAGACTTTTAAGTGTATATAAGTGTGCCTTCTGTCATGTTTGTGGATATAAATGTTTGTTTGTTTGTTATTTATGTGACTTGTGGGTTTTTTATTGTTAGTGTGTGTGTGTGTGTGTGAGAGAGAGAGAGAGAGAGAGAGAGAGAGAGAGAGAGAGAGAGAGAATGCAAGAACGACCTTCCAAGGATGCTTTAAACATTCTTCTCTTTCTTACACACACACACACACACACACACACACACACACATTATATCATTATATCTAAATCAAATGTAAGTCTGTATATTTTCAGTCACCGGCTGCAACTCTATTAATAAACCGTTTATTATTATTTTTTTTTTTACACACTCGAGGGAGAGTGTCGTGAAAGTGACACAGGTGTTCGCAATAGATGCTTCAGGTGTACACGGCTCATCTCGCCACGCACACACAGTTACGTACATGAATATACACACATGTAGGTGTAGGTTTACACGCGCACGTATAGTTATATAGTTACGAAACATTAATTTACGAAACACACATACAGTACAGTACGAGTTGAGTTTTACCGAAGCGTACACACACACACACACACACACACACACACACACACACTTACATATAATTTCATATCGATTATCTAAACCTGAATTAGTGGAGATTCTTAAGGCATTTGCTATTTACGTGTTATATAAAAGTATTTCTGAGCAACACAGCGCCTTAAGTAACTTCAACTGTACTTAAGACATGATCCAAGTTGTAAGTCACTTTTATCTACTACTGTACTATCATCACTGTATGTTGGCTGGATATGTACCTGTGTATGTACTGTATGTGTGCGTTTGTGTGTAAGTTTGTATGTGGAGTTTGTCTATGAATAGCGAGAGAGAGAGAGAGAGAGAGACCTTTCTTTATCTCATTGTCATCAAATGTCAATCACTCATGCATAAACTTCTCACTGAGGCGAATATTACTCTCTCTCTCTCTCTCTCTCTCTCTCTCTCTCTCTCTCTCTCTCTCTCTCTCTCTCGCTATTCATAGACAAACTCCACATACAAACTTGCACACAAACGCATACATACATACATAGTCGAAACAGTTTTGGAATTTTTCTAGAGTATTTTGAAATCAGTGAGAGAGAGAGAGTGAGAGAGACTGTTCCATCTAGATGAGGTTAAGTAAGCGAATAAACTTGGGAATGGAAGAAGTAAAAGAAGAAGAAGAAGAATAGACCAACATTCTGAACTTATCCTCTTCACCACTTTCTTCTTCTTCATCTCTTTCTTATCCACTTTCTCCTCACACTTTCTTTATCTCTCGCTTTGTAAATGTCTCTTCTTTCACTTTTATCGCTTGTTTTATCTTCTTCCTGTTTGTTTCTTCGTATTTTTTTCTTCAGTTTATGACCAATTTTAATTTAGTTTTGTGTAGTGTGTGTGTGTGTGTGTGTGTGTGTGTGTGTGTGTGTGTGTGTGTGTGTATGTGTGTGTGTGTGTGTCTAATAATAAAATAATGATAATAAATGGTTTATTAATAGAGTATATTCCTGGAGGATAATTTGTACACTTATAATTATTATATATATATTTTTTTGGGGGGGGGTGATAATTGAATTGTTTTTCTTATATTATTTTTAATTATAGATTGTTATTAGTATCGATAATCTAGTTGCTGTCGTTATTATTATCATTATTATATATTATTATTGTTGTGTCATTACTCATTATTTTATTATTATTATTATTATTATTATTATTTACACTAATCTCTGTCAGTGAGTGAGTGAGTGAACCAGTACTCGAGCCGCCACTATAATACTAGCTGGCTGGCTGGCTGGCTGGTGAGCTTTAATAAAAATGTTTGGAGAGTGCAGTAGGGTATAGGTCAGTGCCCGAGAGATAAAACCAGTCTGCCCAGGGTAAAGAAAACGTGGTGGTTCAGTGCGGGTAGCCCACTTTGAAGAGGAGGCGTAAAAAAACAGGGTGGGTGAGGTAGCTGACTCGAGCCAAGGGTGCCACAGATGGATATATTCTGAATTCTGATCCAGTTTGTGACGGATGTTGAGGTTTGTATGTGTGGATGTGGGTTATTGTGTGAGTTGTGAGCTAATAGAATGTGTGCCTTACTGGAGCGACAGATAGAGGGAAATGTGAAGAATTGTTTGTACTTTATTAGAGAGAGAGAGTGTGTGTGTGTGAGAGAGAGAGAGAGAGAGAGATTATAATTTATGTTACCAACTTTTAAAATACACCAGTTTAGGGTCGCTCGTAATTATTTGATAACACTGGTAGGAGGGTTACGGAGCTGGGTTGTAAATTAAGAATTTTTAGGTTCGTTGCTGTATGTAAATATTTGCTCTTTCTACCAGGCGTATGATAAACCTGCTCACTGATACTATTGTTGCCAGTTCACTCGAAAAGACGCTCGTTCTGCACTTTTTACCAGATCACTTTGAGAATTGTGTTTACTGCCAGGCGTACGATCAACCCAACACTAATGCATCTATTCTCACCTTTAGTCACAGGTGTATATAGGTCATTATGATTAAGACTAATGATTGTCTTGATGTGTGTGTATGTGTGTGTGTGGTTACTATCACAGGTAAAACAAAAAATAATCTATATATAAAAAAGTACTCCAGTGACCAGTACGATATCTGGCTCCTTTCGCTGTTGTTGCTAGCTGTTGTCTCGTCCACCGCTCACCCAGCCAGCCACTCACCCGACAATATGACTAGGGGAAAAAAATATACCTTACCGCAGCCAGTGACCGATATATTATGAAATAGAGTTGCACAGAGTTGTCTTTGATAAACTGTCAACCTCAAAACTTTGCGTCAGATGTGTGGTTTTGGAAATACAATAGACCACAACAAAGGTAAGAAATATCATATAAGAGAGATAATGGAAGTTATTTCGACCAATCATATCAGCCAGAGCGTATACACATGCTCGTCTCCACCAATCAGATCAGCCAAAGTGTGTCTGTGTGTGACCAATCGTCGAAGGGAACAAGTGATAAATGATTTTAGGAATCCC